CTCTTTTCAAATGTAATTTTGAATTATTTGCATATATTTTGAACTTCTGAGTCCATTGTTAGTGTCTAAAATAATGTGTGAAACAGAAACCTAAACCCATCTTTCCTTAGAAAGCATCTGGCTTTATTTTGAAATGCCATTCAATAAAGCCAAGTTTCAGTTTCTGGTTTCCAGACTATTGCACTTGAAGATATTTACAGATTAGAAGAGAATACCAACCTCATTGCCATCGAGTTGGATCCAACTCATAGTGACCCCTCCTCCTTGGGTTTCTGTGGCAGTATCACTTCGGAAGTAGATTGCCCAACTTTCCTTCCAAGGAGTGTCTGGTGGATTTGAACCACCAGCCTTCTGATTAGCAGTCAAATGCCTTAGGTACTATGCCACCAGAGCTCCTTAGAAGAGAATAGAATCCTGGAAATAGGGACCTTCTTATTAAACTACTTGACACTTGTCTCCTAAGAAACCAATTTAGGTTGTTAAGTTGATTCTCTAAGGACTTATTAAGGCTATCAGTTTTGCCTTTTGTTCAAGACCTTTAGAGTTATCTTTCTCCTTTACTCTTCACCACTCCCCCTCCCCAAAAGATACTGAATTGTACTTCTATCTTCTTCTACCTGGAAATTTTCTAAGAGAAAGTCTAAAAACATGAGATCTATATATACTAGGAACACAAATACCAAGGGAAAAAAATAAACTTTCTATAAACCTTAAATAATAATCATTCAATACTACTTCCACCAATTATTCCAAAAAAAATGCTTAAACATTGCCTATGCTATATCCATTCTCTTCATTTTTGAAAATGGTTGTATCTGCCTTGTCAGGTCATATAGTCACTTGTACACTAGAATTTCTCCCTTTGAACTTGTTTGCTGTTAGTGTTTATATATTGTCAACTAACTGTCAGTAACTATTTAGCATTTTCATTGTTGAAAGTTCATTTTTTATAGGTTCTCTAGGAATGGCTTGGGAAACTGTATTTCCGAGCTCTTGCATGTTTGTATCAATTGTGCCCTTTTCACATCAATGTTAGCTTTTCTAGATACAAAATTCTTGTATCCTTCCTTGAAAATGTTAAATATATTCTTCCTTTTTATTCTGTCATAATATGTTGCTGTCAAAAAGCCTGGTAATAATCTAATTTTATATTCCTCATCTTCTTATATTCTTTTGGCATAGGTTCCCAAAGGATATTTTTGTTTTTCTTCAAACTTCAGTAATTTTACTACAAAATTTCTTGGCACTGGCCATTCTAAGTGTCATATTCTTGTGTACATATTGTGACATTTTAATATGCAATTTTAAATCTTTTTCTGTCAGAAAAATTTTCTTGAGTCATAATTTAATTTGTTCTGTAACTTCGCTTTAATTTTCTTATTTAGGAACTCCTATTATATATGAATCCTCGGAAGGAAGGTTGGGCAATCCTACTTCCGTAGTGATACTGCCTCGGAAACCCAAGGAGGGGTTGCTACGAGTCGGGGCCGACTCGACGGCACATAACAACAACAACAACATTATATATATATGCTGATCTTCTTTGCCTATCTTTGATATGTGTCACTTTCTCAAATCCTATTTTACTTTGTTTTTTTATTAAACATTTGTCCTCTTAAGCTTTCTGTTACCCTTAAGGCATCAATTGTTGAGTTTATTAATGTTACTTTCAGTTTAATCTTCATTTCTTAAATAATGTTTTATCTGTAATTCTTTCTTTTCATCATCTTATTTTGAATTTTTCTAATTCTGATTTTTGCTGTTCTTCCACATCTTACACAATTTTCCTACTGATTTTAAGATTGTTTTGAAATTGCATGTTACAATTTTGATCTAATTTTTTGAGCATGTCTTCCTGGTGTGCCTTCACAGTCTGCAGGGATGATAGTCAGTTCCTTGCTGGGTTTTTTGTTTTTTTTCCTTAAGTAATTTTTTGGGGATTTGATCATGAGAATTTTTTATTGCTCATTTGTATATAAATTTCATTTTCCTGAGCTTTTTGGTGGCTTTCTCAGATAGCTTTTGTTCATTAAGCTTGCTTGCAGAAGTTTTCTGGCTCTGTTCCCCTCACTCACTCTTATATGGACCTTCTATTTTATTAGTCATACTACATTGCCTAGATACTCTAGTGCAAAACTCAACTGTGTACTCAACAGTAGGTATTCTTGTTTTGTTAATGTTGTTATGTGCCGTTTTTTCACCTCTAAATATAATGTTACTGTTGATTTCTAATAAATTTTTTAAATCATATACTGGTTTCAGGTATGAGTTTGTATTTGATATCTTTTAAGATTCTTTCTTATTCAAATTGTTTCATTATAAAATCATTACTTAACTTTTTTAGGTTGCTGCAACCAAACTGAGTACTCCAGTGAGAGCTCTGGTAGCATAGTGCCTTAGGCACTTGACTGCTAACCAGAAGGCTGGCGGTTCAAACCCACCAGCCACTCCTTGGAAGAAAGATGGGGCAATCTACTTTCGTAGTGATACTGCCTTGGAAACCCAAGGAGGGGATGCTATGAGTTGGAGCCGACTCAACGGCAAATAACAACAACCCCACTGAATATCAAGAACCTGTTTTTACTCAGTGGAAGCTCTGTAAATTATCTAGTTCAATTACTTGAAAGCCAAGTCAACAAAGAAGAAAATTAATTCTTTCCAGGGATTTAAAAGTTAAGTAGGAAATGAATTTTTTTTTGTTTTAGAGATTTTCAAGGAGTTTTGAGTTTTTTTTTTTTTTTTTTTTTAATAAATCACCAAAATAATCTTTGAGTAATGAAAACAAACAACTGAAAATTGTATAATTTCTGGAGCTATTGGGGGAATAAGAAGAGAAAAAGCCTAAAGAAAAATAAATCACAAAGACTTATTTGAGAAGAAAAATCTATGTTTATTTCTGAAAAGCTTCAGTCTAACATGTAAACTTAAGCACTTATAACTTTAAAATTATGCATTTTAAGTTGAAACTTTATATATATATTTCTATATATATATATGTATATATATGTATAGGTATATATGTATATATGTTTATATTGAAGTATTTTTAAAAGTTCCTCTAACTTAGTATTATGATTGTGTCCTATTGACACTCACAAAGGTATCAACAGGCGTTCCATAGTCATATTCTAGACAGAAATTGATTCATTATTGGTATAAAAGATAGTATTTTAATTAGTTTGATGTTTTCAATAGGAATTCACTTTCCAAGAATGAAGTAAAAACAAATGTAATCAGTATTTCCAAAGTTACTTATTAATTTCCCTGGATATCTAAAAATTGGCCCAACTGTACAAATATGAGGTATACATTAAAGAAGGGACATGTTTAACATTGAGAATTGTACAATTTTTCTTCACAAGAATATTTCAAGGCCCAGATAAATAAATGCACTTTTATTTTCATTACAATGCATAGTAAATAGTTTCATTTAAGGAATAGCACAGAATCCTTCTCAGGGATATAGTTGTACATTAGACCTATTATTTTACAGTAATAGAGAGAAAATAAAATTAGGTATACAGACACTAAAGACCAGTCATAAAAATGAATTTAATGTTTAAGTTCATGCTAACTAGAATCATCAATTTTATTTAATATAAATATATTTCTGGCATATAATTATTTATAATGAGAATTATCCATTTTAATTCAACCAATTCTAGTTCTATTCAGCCAAAGGAATAAAATAGCTTCTTACAATTCAGGATTGATAGGTCAATACAATACATAGAATTTTCTGATCTCCATTGACTTTCAGTAGCACAAAGACATGTATTGGTAAAACTGGTCATTAAAACTCCATGACCAAAATATCACTATAATTTTATGAGGCAAAGTCCTATAATAAGATTAATGTAATAATGACTACAGCCTTTTGAAGAACAGGGTATGGAAGTTTTCTTTTTCAGAATTATGAATTTCATTTTCCAAATTTTGACTCCCAAATTTAATTTCTAAATGTTTCAGCAGAGGTGAGGCAGTAATGGAAAGAACTGATTTAATGGAACTCTGGAGGAAAAAAATAACTACTGCAGATACTTGTTTGGAAAACATGTTCTGCATAAGAGATACCACAAATGACTCAGTAAGAGTTAATAATGCCTACATCAAAGTTTATTGGTTAGCTAAAGGGCAAAGAGGTAAGAGGCAAGTAAAACGTATAATTGCTTCTAACAAAAGAAACTGAGTAATATGTTAAGAGTTATGAGAATAGGAAAGAACTCAAACTGGGCAAAAATTTCCTTGTGGACTTTCTTTATAAACATCTATTTTAGTTTTGGACTGTTCACCAGTGGGCTCATGTGACGGAAAGGAGAAACTCTGCCCATCTGTGAAATGGTTCCCCAACCAACAGGTCCTTGTTCAGCTGCTCTATAAAGGAGCTTGTCCTCTGAGGTCCTTAGGGCCCGGAGGGAGAATTGAAAATACATGAAAAGGGGATCCAATTTGCTTTGAAAGCTAATCCACCCTAATTGGACTCTTTCGCAAATTGAATTATTCAAATATTAGCTAGAAGTACAGACTCTTCAGCTAAAGAACACAGACAAGCATCTATCTTGAAATGCCTTCAGATGATGACGTGATCCTACGGTTTACTGGTCTTGTGTTCTCTCAGAATAAGGATTCTATAAGGTCCTGGAGATCCATAGCTCCGATAACCCATCTTTCCAAATAAAATCTTAATGAATATAGTTTAAATCCATTATTGGGCTTTGTAACCTCTTCAACTAAATAGTCAAGTGGCAGTTCTTTTATGTAACTTTTGTTTCACCAGAAAAATTAAGAAGGTATTTTGATATTTTCTGGTAATACCAATGAGTGAAAAGGAAACTAAATTATGCTGCCTTCAGGGAGTTTTTAGGAAGCAAATTCATTGAGTAAATCAAGAAAGTACATTGTACATAAAGCAAAGCCCTCTGGCACAGCTAGAACATGTTCTTTATGAATAGGCTCCAAGCCACTTGGTAATTTCAAGTGAGAGGCAACAGAAGTCTTTCTTAATCCAAAGTCAGAATTTTCTGAAGAACTTCAAGCACAATTTTATAACAAAAGTGATACTGCTCCTATGTACATATGCATGAAAAACAACAGAATGTTAAGAAATTGAATATTAATAATTATTTTTAGAGAACATATATAACTTTCAACTATACAGAACAGTTCCTAAAACCAGCAAACACTTAACCAAGAATTTATTTATGCAAATATGTTTTTTAAAATATCAGAAGGACAATAATCTTAACATAGATTTTGATCTAGAAGTAGCTAACTGATGGCTTAAGTGAACAGAGGAGAAAATGACTCATGATCTCACTTTCCTTATACATCCCTGGCTAAATTAAATTAAAAAGTTCCTTGCATTAACCTTGACATTTTAAGTGAACACAGGTGTTTTGTTTTGTTTTGTTTTTTTGTTTTAAGGTCTCTCAGGCAACCGTAGATCAAATGAAATGCTTGATATTATTGGACACTAAAAATAGGCCAACTTAAAGGTAGCTGTGCATTTCATTATGCATACTTTCTTGATCCCCTATCCCAATGATTAATAATTAATCTGTGGCATAAACAATATATGTTCATGACATGTCAATGGTTTTGATACTTTCTTGTTGTTAGGTGCTATCAAGTAGATTGTGATTGGCAGTGGCCCCATGTGACAGAGTAGACCTTCTAGGCTGTAATCTTTATGGGAGCAGATCACCACGTCTTTCTGTGGAGGAGTCACTGGATCGGTTCAAACAGCCAATCTTTCAGTTAACAGCTGAGTGCCTAATCATTTTGCCACCAGGATCCCTTTTCAATATTTTAATGGCAAGGTAATATCCCAAATTACTATCCAGAAATGTACTAAGAATAATTTTGGTATCTACTTCCGTAGTGATACTGCCTTGGAAATCCAAGGAGGGGTCACTATGAGTCGGGTCTGACTCGACGGCACATAACAACAACAACAACAATTAAGTAATATGGATTTATGGGAAAAGGACGTATTTGGGCATCAGGAGACTGAATGACCCTATGGAATGGACAATATTAGAGCAAAACCAATGTCTGTCTTAAACAATGAGAATTAAATTATGTAGGTAAAAGAATATTATAAATTGTAAGGTCCTATGTTGTTGTTGTTATGTGCCGTCGAGTCGGCCCCAACTCATAGCAACCCCTCCTTGGGTTTCCAAGGCAGTATCACTACAGAGGTAGATTGCCCAACCTTCCTTCCGAGGAGAGGCTGGTGAGTTTCAACCGCCAGCCTTCTGATTAGCAGTCAAGTGCCTTAGGCACTATGCTACCAGACCTCCTAAGGTCCTATACAATATTAAAAGCACTCTTGTAGTGCGGTGCCTAAGGCATGTGACTGCTAACCAGAATGTTGGCAGTTCAAACCTACCAGTCACTCCATGGAAGGAAAATGGGGTAATCTACTTCCATAAAGTTTTATCACCTCAGAAACCCAAAGGGGATCGCTATGAGTCTGAATCAACTCAATGGCCATGAGTTGGGTTTGTTTTTTTATACAGTATTAATCTTTATATTCATTATTATTATTACTAGAATTTATGTAAGAGCTTACCTTTGTTTGAATCATGCCACACCGGTATTCTCTCATTTGAGTCACAATATTCTTGATGTTGAACTGTAACAGGAAGAGAGTAATTCTGTATTATCCACATGAGAAAAGCACAAACACTCAGATTGCCACATGAGAACTCCATACATATTTCTAGTAAAAGATATGTCAAAATTTAACCAGAAAAATTAATTTTTAGTCACAAGAAAATGTACTGTTTTTCAATGGATAAGTAAAACTTATTTAAATGGGTTTCCAGGAAAAGGAAAGAAGCAATCATTTATAGTAAGAAATATTCTTCAAAAATATAACAACTTTGCCCCTGAGTATAACTTCCTGTTCTTTAAAAAGAAAAAAAAAGTAAAGTAGCAATGTAATTCTGGAAAAAATTTGAACTATAGAAGATGTTCTCTTTCCATGATAGTAGCAGTTGTTTCTCACAAAACAAGTCCTATGAGCTCAAGTGTAAATCCCAAGCAACAAACTTGCTTAACACCAAATTCTGCACCATGTGGAGAGGCCCTATTCATAGCAAGGTTAGTGAGCTGGTGCACTACAAAGTTGTTACTAATCCACAGTGAGATGAGTTCAGAAACTGAGAGTGTTTAGAAATACTTATGGCAATCTGACATGGGCACAGCATTCAAGAGCATGATCCATGGAACAGAATATAGGCAATCTGGATGCTAAACTCACCAGGAGAGTCATTCATGGTACAACCAGAGTACCAACATGTACAGCTAGATAATGATGAGATGTGGAATTTTAGAGTTAGTTCGTAAACATTAGAAAATTAATCAACGTAATAAACTACATCCATAGAACAAAGGAAAAGATACATATGATCATCTGTATGGATGCAGAAAAAGCTTCTGATACAATCCAACATCCTTTCTTGATGAAAATCCAAAAGAAAATTGCAATATAAAGGAAATTCTTCAACATGATTCAGAGCATATATCAAAAGCCAAAAGCCAATTTATACTTAATGGAAAAAGGCTGAGAGCTTTCTCCTTAAATCATGACATCAGTTCTACTCAGTGTTGTATTAGAAATTCTAGTCAGAACAATAAGACAAGAAAAAGAAATTAAAAGGTAGTCATATTGGAAAAGAGTAAGTAAAATTATCTCTATTCACAGATGATATGATACTATATCATAGAAGAGCAGGAGAAAGGGGATTAAAAGACAGGAAGCCAGACAGAGGAACAGTCAGCAACAGGGACCCAGGTGGGGGGGATACAAGAGGTCTCCAACAGCAGGACAAACTTGTCTGTCGGTTTGTCCTACTGTGGTGACATGTAGACATGAGTTTTGAGGGTGAGC